AAAAAAGAATCCTGAGGCTGGAAAACAATGCTGGGATGGATTGGTGATGTCTGCCTTGGGCATGCAATGGAAGAAAGTGACCTTGCCTCCCCCAAAACTGTGCCCCGCCCAGTGCTGTTGGAATAAGAACGGGGGCAAGTATCATGGTGTGGCTCCTATTTATCAAGCAACTGCCCATGCCAGGGACAGCTGTATGCATTTCAGGGGTATTTTCTCCTAGTGAATGAACATCTAGAAGATGCGACCTCCTGTTTGTTTTCAGGAGACCATACTCAGGAAGAGCCTGACTCCCTCTTGGAAGTGCCTGTGAGCTTCCCGCTGTTCCTGCAGCACCCCTTCCGCCGGCACCTCTGCTTCTCTGCGGCCACCAGGGAGGCACAGCATGCCTGGAGGCTGGCCCTGCAGGGTGGCATCCGGCTTCGGGGCACAGGTGGGTCTCAGGACGGGTCAGACATTTGTGAGGCTAATGGTCTGGGGTCAGACAGCTCAGCCTCTGTTGGCTTGGGACCTCTTCAGGCCTCACTTTCCTTACCCAGAAAATGGATTAGGCCAGGTATGGTGGTTCATGCCTGTAATTCTAGCACTTTGGGAGGCCAAGGCAGGCAGATCACCCGATGTCAGGAGTTCTAGACAAGCCTGGACAACATGGCAGAATCCTGTCTCTACTAAAAATACAAAAATTAGCTGGGCATGGTGGAAGGCACCTGTAATCCCAGCCACCTGGGAGGCTGAGGCAGGAAAATCACTTGAACCTGGGAGGTGGAGACTGCAGTGAGCCAAGATCGCGCCACTGCCCTCCAGCCTGGGCAACAAGAGCAAAACTCCATCACACACACACACACACACACACACACACACACACACACACAGAAAGAAAAGAAAATGGGTTGTTGGGGGAGCCGGAAGGAACACCAGGCAGTTGTGAGTGACTAGGGCTGTTAACAGAGACACACAGGGTTCTATGGGAGCTCAGCCTGGGGGATGGGGGTTAGAGCAGGCTTCCCAGATGAGGGGAAGCTGGGGTCTGTAAAAGATGAGGGGCCAGCCGCCGGGCACGGTGGCTCATGCCTGTAATCCCAGCACTTTGAGAGGCTGAGGTGGGAGTATCACGAGGTCAAGAGATCGAGACCATCCTGGCTAACATGGTGAAACTCCGTCTCTACTAAAAATACAAAAAATTAGCCAGGCATGCTGGCAGGTGCCTGTAGTCCCAGCTACTCGGGGGGCTGAGGCAGGAGAATGGTGTGAACCCAGGAGGCAGAGAGCTTGTAGTGAGCCGAGATTGCGCTACTGCACTCCCTGTCTCTTATACACATCTAGATGTGTATAAGAGACAGGGTTTCACCGTGGTCTCGATCTCCTGACCTTGTGATCCGCCCGCCTCAGCCTCCCAAAGTGCTGGGATTACAGGCGTGAGCCACCGTGCCCGGCCAACAGTGGCACAATCTTAGCTCACTGCAGCCTTGACCTCCTGGGCTTAATCGATTCTCTTACCTTAGCCTCCCAAGTAGCTGGAAATACAGGTCCGCGCCACCATGCCCAGCTAATTTTTAAATTTTTTTGTAGAGATGGGGGTCTTGCTTTGGTGCCCAGGCTGGTCTCAAACTCCTGGGCTCAAACGATCTGCCTGTCTTGGCCTCCCAAAGTGCTGGGATTAAGGCGTGAGCCACAACACTGGCCGTGGAGCACAGTTTAAAACGTGAGGCGAAAGGAGTTGGATGAGAAGAGTGGCAATTTAGCAAAATCAGTCTGAGGTCATCCCCCCAAACTCCTCCTCCCATTCCCCTGCAGGGCAACAACCCAGAGAATTCTGTTCAAGGCAGGTCACTTCAGTGCATCTGATATACATGTAGCACCTGAAATACATACATACATACATACATACATACAGTAGCACCTACTATGTGCCAGGCAGCCTTCAACTCATTCTTAAGCCTCCATTTCCTAATCACTTTCTCCAGGAACTGTCCCTGGTCCCCTCTATGTCT